TCGTGCCCAGGGACCGGCGGGCAGCAGTGAGGAGCGACCCGCTCCAACCAGGGAGCTTTCACTTGAACGTGGTCAGTGCACCTTCGCCCGTCATTGCGTTTTATCCAAACGGGCTCAACCAGGCCGTGCGGCCGATGGCCCAGCTCCTTCCCCACCTGGGGCTGGACATGGTGTCAATGCAACAGGGTCCGTTCTGACTGCTCCCCGCCTGCGGCCCTGGAGCTCCTCCCCCCCCCACCCCTCCTCTCCCCGCCTCTGACCCCATCTCCCTCTGCAGCCCTGGCCTTGCCTCAGGCCCCGCCTCCAGGTGGGCACTGGGAGCAGGGGGCTGGCCCTTCCTGGGCCGTGGCCTCACCTCCTCCAGGCGGACTTGGTTCTTGGCCTTGATGAGCTCCTCCTCGGCCCGGCCGCGCTCAATGAGGGCTGCCGCCTTCGCTCGGCTCAGCTCCTGCAGCACAGAGACCCTCTGGCCCTCCTCCCGCCGGCTCTGCCCACCAGGTGAGGCTTCCATGGCTGAGGGAGCGCCCACGCCCCCTCACCCAGTCCCTCTGGGCTCACAGGTGGGTCCCCGAGATCGCAGATGGGCACCCAGCCTGGCCTGTGCTCACCTCCTCCAGGGACAGCCGCGCGGCCTCCAGCCTCTGCACCCGCTCCTGCAGGGCCCGCTCGCTCTCCTCCAGGTGACGCGCCATGTGCTCCACCTGCCCGGGTGCAGGCGGGACAGGACTGTCGGGCTGGCTCCCTGCCTTCCCCCCGTGGGACCCTGACCCTGGGAGGCAGGTGGATCTCGGGGACCCTGTTCCTGCCAAGGGGCTGCCCCGAGGGTCTCAGGAAGCAGAGATGGAGGGCACGTCCCAGCGCCACACCCCGGTGGCACGGAGCCCACGGCAGCCTGCGCTCTGGCCCCCCGTGTGGGAGGGGTCCCTCTAGGCCCTGGTTAGGAGGTTCTGGGTCTGGCATCTGCTGGGGCACGTGGAAGGCTGCCACCGAGCACCCCAAGGGAGTGAGGGGAGCCCAGCCAGGGGTGTGCTGTGGGGACATCAGGCTGCACTGAGGCGCCGGCAGGCCCCAGGCGGACATGGTGAGAGCACGAGGCCCGAGGACGGCACGAAGGAGGCACCTCCTTGACGCGCAGCTGCTCCGCGTCCTCCAGGCTCTGCCGGGACCTCCTCTTCTCCAGCTCCAGGCGCTCTGGGGGCAAAGGCAGGCGTGAGCCGGCTCCTCGGGCCCCTTCCTCCCACGACTCCACCTGCC